CCGAACAAGTGCCTCTGGTAGATAAAGTATTTCAGTGGTAGAGGCAAAAATCATCTTGTAAACGACAACTTTCAGATTTGCGACTAAATGTATAGAAAGAGTGGCGACACAATACACGTAAGCTGTTTAAAAAAGGCCAATCACAACGACAGATAGAATATCCCCAAACCCAAGCGGCGTAAAAACGTACTGGACGGAAGTACGGGCTTCGAAGGAGATCACTTCTAAAAGGAACAAACAAGATGTCGCATCCGATACTAGTGAAAACAATTTTCCACTGGAAGGATAAGTGGCGTGAAAAGCCGGATTTGCCAAATCATGGAGAAATATGCTGTTTTAAACAGAAGCAGCAGGAGCAGAAATAATGATAATTTGCGTTTACAAACGCTCATTCTTCGAGGTGATATAACTTTCCGTGAGATCAATTACTCAGGAGTGAATACACCCATCAGTATAAGGCACGGATAGGATTGATCTCTCAGGGTGGATGCACAGGATCACTCTCACGTGAGCGTGCCTTTCAGTACGGTGATTATTTGCTACAATGAAGTGAACTAAAGTTGTTTCATTGAGAACCGGATGGCGACTGTGGTACTAATGCTTGTTTAAATCAGCCTAGTGGACCCTTTAGAGGACCAACATAATCCTCCTCATTATGTCAACCAATCACCCAGAATGGATAACATTTGATAACGAAAGAAGAGCCACGAGACAGTATGAATTAAAGCAACACTTGTACCTCGAAGGAGCAGCAACAGTGGCGCCAGATAGTCATTGCGAACAAGAAGTCGCAGAAACTGCTCCACCTGTCGCCGCATGTGAAGGTCTACAAGGTCGCTGAATTGTGTAGCCCGTAGGGCCAATCCCACATTGAGGATGGCACGACGCAGTACACCCGGTAGATACGCCCCCGTTTCAGCCGTTTCTGTAATTGAATTCACTGATGAATCGGATCGAAGTCGTGGATGATGTAAGACGTCAAGATTCCAGCCTTTTCGCTCAAGAGCACAGATAATATCGTACCTAGGAAGGGACAGGGGCAATGACCCCAGTAAATTCGTGAAGGAGGAACATTTCCTTCTACATTCTAGTTTTCCAGACCAAAAGGATTCTGCAGAGTTTTTGCAATAAGAAAGGAATAAAAAGATCAAATTATTTAAGAGCAGAAAGTTTAAGCCACTGACACATCGGGCAGGTCAGTAGAAATAGATGATCGATCTGTGGATAGGTGGCAATATTTCCTAGAATTCCATGCATATCATTCAATAAATCGGTAACTCTAAGAAATCATTTTCGACCTACGTATGGGTCCCACTCACTCAAATTGAAGCATTCTTGCTTACTTACTTTCAGTTGCTTAAATGCCTTGATATTTCGGGCAAAATGGGATGCGCAAATAAACTCCACGTGAACAA